AAAACAACTTTTTCAATTAACTTTTGAGAAAAAAAAATTATACCAAACAACTATCAACTACGGAGTATCAATTAACAGCTAATTTCTCAAACACTTTTCTACAATCAGCTAATGTTATCGACTAGTCATACACTCTAATTAACCCAATCAGCTAACAGCTAACAGCTAACAGTCATTTATCAAACATGGCCATAATCTTCTTTATTATTCAATAACACCTGGTAAGAGTAATATTTTTAAAGAAACACTTACAGCGTGTTTGGTTGGATGGAATTACAATTCTGTTTCCACTTAATTCTCACATAATTATGAAGGCAAGCAAATTCATTCGTTTGGTTGAAGGCAATTGCAATTCCGCGGAATTAAAATTCATCATTTTCAAGAAATTAGAATCCCATGCATCATTGGTATTTCAATTCTATGGATTTTAGGAAGAAAAAAAGGAATAAGAGTTCAAACAGACCCTTGAACTTTACTCGAAAGTGCAATTAGACCCCTGAAATTCAAAAAGTGCGATTAAACACTCAAACTTGTTAAAATGAGTCAATTAATTCTGATTTGCCGGTAACCAATAGGTAACCGGTAAAATTCTGACCGTTGACCACTGTTCACGATCAGAACAAAAATTGCTAGCACCTTTTTCCGGTCTTCTCCATTGGAGAAGACAACTGTCTAGTCGCCTTCTCCACTGGAGAATGCGACCATTGGTCGTCTTCTCCAGTAAAGAAGATGACTGGTCACGGTTGTCGATTTTTTTTTTAATTCAGATTAAAGAGTTGCTGGAATTTTTTAATCGTTGAAATTGTCGCCAGAATCTTGATTACTGGTTATTTCAGGTAAATTATCGGTTATTGGGTTTAGATGCATTAAAATGATAAGTTTGAGTGTTTAATTGCATTCTTTTGAAGTCCGAGAGCTTAATTGCACTTTCGAGTAAAGTTTAATGACCTACTTGACCCTTTTCCAAGAAATAAATAAATAACTTTGAGACAAAATTAACCCTCTATTTTTAATCTAAAATTGATGTGTGACATCTCTCTTTCGATTATAGCATGTCTTCTTCTTATACTCTCAACACATAACACCAATTAATAGTCTAACCTCAATCAAACACATAATATTATACTCTCAACACATAACACCAATTAGTAGTCTAACCATGTGTGTAATTAAATTTCAATTTTTAATATATATTTATAATTCATTTAATTTATATTTAATATTAATATAGTTTACATGTAATATTTTTATTTTGTAATTATAATATTATTAAGTTATAAAGGTTATAAAATATATAATTTATAAATTTAATTTATATAATAAATAAAATGTATATTAATATTTATATAAGGATAAAATTAATTATATTAATTAATATTTGTAATAAATGTAATATAAATAAGTTATATATATAATGCTTAGGAACTAAAAAATGTATGTTCAATTATTTGATGAAATGAATTGTTCAGATTATTTTGATTTTTTTTTTTATACTTTACCCTCTATTATATCATTTACTTTTCTTAAATATCCCTACACTCCGTCGGTGTAAACTTTAGTAACGGAATATTCTGTTAATTATTTATTATTTTTAACTTACTAATTGATTTTCATAAGAAATGTCTTAGGTTCGAGTTAAAATTGGCATAATTATTGAACATATATTATGAATATGTTAGAGTGTTAAAAGTTTGGTCAATTAATTAGTCATTATATACATAGTATTCAAAGTTGAGCATCAAAGATTACAAATAAGAAACTTTGAAATCATTCTCTTGTATTTTTTTAATAAATATATGTTAAGTTTTTTTTTTTTTTTTGTTTAATTAATCTCTTTTTATTTAGGACAAGACTCAATATTTTAATTATGTTTTTTCATTATTGGGAATGATTGAAGTCGGGCGGAGATTTTTTTTAGAGTAACAAAGCATATATAATGTATGAAACTGCAATAGTGTTTGATCATGACATTGGAATGTATGATATTGCTCTACAGACCAACTCTTGGTATGCTATTTCAAATATCATTATCAAACATGTGCAACATAACTACAAAGTTGTTGATTAAAATACAACTACACCTAGACTTTAAACGGTAGGACCATTGTCCAAACAATTGATAATGATGATACCCCACCAGCTCCAATTGAACAAGTTTGCACACCATTCTCATAATTTTATCAATGAATTAAAACTTCTAAAGAAATTTGTAAGTTAATCTCTATCTATATTAAAGCAGAACCTAATAGGAAAAAAAAAAAAATTCTAGCCCAACAAAAATGTTGCGTTTTGTAGTCCAGCAGAAACATTCAATTTCATGGTTTAAAGATGACAATAGTTCATTTACCAAACATTATTTAGTACATTTTCTTTAAATATGGAAGTAAATATTTTTGCCGCTATTTTAGCCGCTTTTTATTTTCAATGTAATTAATGGCATCCAATCGATTTGTACCCCTACGTGTTCTTAACAATTCGTTTAAAATCGCGTCTAAATCTAATTATAAATACATCAATTTGTGTTGAATACAAACACTACGAATATAATACATCAGAAATTTCTCTGGTTCATATATACAAATACAAACTCATAGAATATATCAATTGTACATTGTTGCACCGTGAGGTTTCTCCACTTAACACCCGGAGTGCAATAAGGCTCCATGTTGTGCAAACCAATGAAATATCTGAGCGAAAAGGTGTTGAATCAATCAAATCTAAAGAAGTAGTCTTTCATGATCAAGAGGTATGGTTTATTTGTATTTTCCAGTTCAATACTATTTGTAAACAGTTCTTTTATTTGTGATTAAAAAACAACATTTTTCGGGAACATTCTTACATGCTCATATTCGAAAAGACCATGTGAAAAAGTACCTTATCCGGTTCCAAAAACAAAGAGTTTATGGAGTACAAAAATTTGTGGTTATTACAAATTTTTACACATAAAACCAATCTTTATCATTATATGATCAAATTTAATTATCAAACTGAGTATAATCTTTTCTATATTGAGGCAAATTCAGTTTAATTCCTTGAAGGCAGAGCATAAGTGCACAAACCAAAAATGAGTCATTTGCCATTTTTGTTGACATATTAAACACATCCTTGTTTTCCATGGACAATTGAATTAAACTTATGTTCTATATTGAGACAAAGATATGTTTAATGTCAAAAAATGGCAAATGATTCATTTTTGGTTCATACACTTATGCTCTGCCTTCAAGGAATTAAACTAAATTTGTCTCAATATAGATAAGATTATACCCGATTTGATAATTAAATGTGATCATATAATGATGAGGGCTGGTTTTATATGTAAAAATTTGTACTGTAATAATTAAGAAATTTTTTACTCCATAAACTCTTCCTTCTTGGAACCGGGTAAGGTACTTTTCCATATGGTCTTTTGGAATATGAGCATGTAGGAATGTTCTTTGAAAATGTTGCTTTTTAATCACGAATAAAAGAACTGATTACAAATAGTATTGAACTGGAAAATAAAAATAAATCATACCTCTTAATCATGAAAGACTACTTCTTTAGATTTGATTGATTCAACACCTTTTCACTCGGGTATTTCATGCGTTCGCACAACACAGAGCCTTATTGCACTCCGGGTGTTCAATAGAAAAATCTCACGGGCAACAATGTATGTATAATGGATACATTCTATGAGTTTATATATGAACCAGAGAGATATATGTATTATATTCGTAATGTTTGTATTCAACACAAACTGATGTATTTATAATTAGGTTTAGACGCGATTTTAAACCAATCGTTAAGAACACGTAGAGGTATGAATCGATTGGACGCCATTAATACCTTGGAAAAAAAAGGGGCTAAAATAATTACTTCCATCTTTAAAGAAAATATACTAATTAATTTTTGTTAAATGAACCGTTGCCATCTTTAAACCATGAAATTGATGGGAAAATTGTTTCCCTATTAAGTTCTCTTTAAACCATGAAATTGACAGAAAAATTGTTTCCATATTAAGTTCTGCTTTAATAGAGGTAGAGATAGAGATAGAGATAGAGATTTAAAGTGATAATCTAGAAAAACAGTTATAAATTACCATGGTCAACAACATCAAAGGGGACAACAGCACTCGTCTTGGAGCTAATACTCTCATTTTTTATTGTAGTATTATTATGAGCCAGTTCCGGTTCTGTGAGCTCAGGCATATTCCATGCGAAGGGAATTGCTGTGCGGACTTCATGGCTAACCTGAGTCAAGTTAGAGGGATTACGATTTTTCGTCCCTCTGCGGAAGGTGTTGAGTCAAGTTAGCACGTGCGGGATTACGATTTTTCATCTCTCTCCGAAAGGCGTAAGGAACATCCTTGAGGCTGATGCTCGTGGCATGGCTACAACAATAATCTATTAACCGTGCTGTGACCGTTTGGTCCCTCTTGTTCACGAAAAAAAAAAAAAAGAGTAAAATTTACTTCTAAAATTCAAAATATTTAAAGGTGCAAGATAAGCTAAAGGGTACTTGCCTGGAGTAACTGCACTTTTACGGGGTGTCTATAAAAGTCACTAAATTCTTTAGTTTGCTTAGAAGGAATTGCAATTCCCTCATTTTTCATGGAATTACAATCCCATGCCCCCCCTCCTCTCCCGGATTTTAATTCCATAGATTTTATGAAGAAAAAAAGATAATCATTAGACCAAATTACCCCTCACTTTTAACTTAAAATTGATGCCCACAACAATATGCATTTTGAACTTTATACTACTTATTCCCTTTCAATTCTCTTGTACACCAAACATTGAAATTGAAATTGAAATTTAAAATTTAAAATTCCCACTAATTATATTCCTATAAACTAAACACTGAAATTTAAAATTTCACTTTATTTCCAATAATTATTCTCTCATAAATTTACAATTCATTTTTCATGAAATTGCAATTCTTTTCTCAAATAACTCCCTTACTCCAATCAAAGGTCACGTTCACTTTTAAGTTCAGTCCTACTTGATTCAAACCGTTAATCTTTGTTGCACATAAACTGATGAACTTTCACATTCACTCGGAAAACAAAAAACCTCTCATTTCTTCACTAAATTCTCCTGTCAAATCAAAGATCGATGAATCGCCACAGGGTCCAATTGCTCTCACCTCCGTCTCCACTACAGTTGCCTACCTCGTCGCCGTCTATCGCAGCTCTTCGCTCCAAATTCTCGCGGATTGCATCTCAACACGAGCAACTCAAAATCGCTTTCAACCACCTCAACTTTCAGATTAGAACTGGTTTGCATGAAGTATGATTGTTCTAGTTGAATTTAACTATCTGCTTTCTTCGTTCAGTTCTCGCAAATTTGAAACTTCATGTCATTGAAGTGCGATTTTTGTTTTTTTAAAGGCCGAGGATGTGTTTGCGTCTCTGGCGATTCCATTGATGAAACTTGTTGGCTTGAAGACTGTCGAGATGGCCGAAGAGGGAAAATTCAGTACAATTATAATTGATAATTCTAGTTCTTATGCTCAAGTAATTAACATTTCTAAATTTATCTCAAATACTGTGTTATTTGTGCTTAAATAATCCAAAAGTATGTTATATGTACCATTGTTATCATTAAAATTTCTGTATCATCTAGTCTAGGATGTTATTGTCTTACGCTCTTACTTAGTGCATTTCTTATTTTCGTGTTTTTTTAAAAGAGAAATGAGATTGGATCAGAAACAGTTTCAAGATCAGATGGAGCATATAATATTCCCAATACTGGTAAATTTGAGGTAAAATTTGAAGCTACAAGTTGAGCTTATTATTGCATATACATTCTGAGTCTACAACCAAAACACAAGCTTTTCCAGAGTTGCAACTGCATTTTAGCGCCGTTACTAGCAATGTGTTTGATTTCTACAAGATTTTGAATGAATAAATGGTCCACTTATTACTGTAATTATAAAATAAACTTAGCACTCAGATAAATAAAATACAGAGTATTTCTCTGGCTTGAGATAGTACTCCATACCTATCTTTTTCCATTAACTGCTTCTGAGTGCTAAGTTTGGTTTTAGGGATGTTGGTCATAAGACTCATAACTCATAATTCATTATTCTTTGAGGTCAAATTAAACTTGTTTATTATTTAAGCTGCTTTCATTCTGAGCAATTGGCTACCAAAATGCTTCTGCAAGTTTATCAAATGTTTGCATGTGTGTGTGTGTGTATAAGCTGCTCACCCTCAAATGGTTCTTGTCTTTCAAATTGCAGGAAGAAAACTATACAGCCAAAGCCATAACAGTTGGCAAAGAGTTGATGCTGAAACAAAAAATGCAACTAATGCAATTGGTCCACTTGCTCAGACAAGTTGAAGCCCAAGTCAAATCTAGCCACAATGATATCCTTCTGACCTTTAATGACAATAGGGCCTCCATACAAAAAATTTTCCAGAAAGCAGTTGCATGTGTTTCTGCCGTTCATGAAGAGAACAATCGCACCAGTTTTCTCGTGCTTAATCTTCTTAAGTTTATATTTGAACATGTTGGTGCCGCACTTGGTTCGGTAATACATGGAGTTGAAGTCTTCATGCATGACCTGACTTCAAATATGTGTAATCCAATGGTAGAGTATGCCAAGGGGTTAAAAGCTGAAGTGACTTCTGGATCATGCCTTCGCCTATTGGCCACAGTGGAAGAGATGGGAGGAGTAATGAGAACAAGGACACTTGAATTGGAGGAAGCAAGAAAGAAAATGAGGGTAGCAGAAGAGAGTAGACTTGTGGCATTGAGCAAGTTGAAGGAATCAGAAGAGTTTGTTAGAAAAATGAGCACACTCCGTTCTTTCCTTTCAGAATCCAATAAAGCATCTGAGGAACATCCTTCACAACAAAAGGTATGTTTCATACTCAATGATTTTGATCTGAGCAATTTTTCTTGTTTTTATTACCTATGTTAACTTCCTATATACAAGTGTTGCTCATGCAACTATGCAAGATGTTTCCAGGAAACCTAGTGGCTGTCAACATTCATCTCCTTTCTAATATTTAAATTCTTAGACAAAAAAAATTAATAATAAAAAAAATAAATTCTTAGTCAAACAAAACTATGAAATATGGAGAAAGAGAACATTTTAGGCTATGCAGTCTCGTTGGATATAACTGTCAGATGAAACAACTTTGCCTTTGTGAAATCGACTACTGTCAAGACATGCTTTGGTTAATTCAAATGTTAATTAGAAGCTAGAATTTCATCATTGAAGTTACTGGACATTAGTAATAGCTATTTGAAGTTGACACCTTAACACATTACTTTCATTTCTGTCGAAAACATGCCTCTGAATGCTATGCTAGTATGCTATGATTCATCTCCCAGTATGTCTTGCGGTACTATCACATTCAGAATTTTCAAAATCCATTATTGCATTTCAAAATTCACTATGAACTCTGCCTCTTCAAGTTGGTGCATCTGTCCAATGAGTCCTGTAAGTTGCTGCCTTTTATATGTTTCAGTAAATTAATGGTTTTCTTCTAAAGCTTGCATGTCTTGAAGACTGCCAAGGTAAAGATGAGAAGCTGCTGTGGGAGCTACTTAAAAAGAAAAGGAAATACAAAGCACCAATGTCTCCACTTGGAGCCATAGGGATTTTTGACATGGGAAGCAGTGGCAGAAATCTTAAATCAATGAGGGTGATGAGGCCATCAATTCATACCAGGAGAACCTCAGAAATGCTGAGTCCACAAACTCCATGTATGGTTCCTTTGATCCCATTGGACTCCTCACCTTCCATGTCAAGGAAAAATTTATAACGTAATCAGATGACATCCTTATTCCTGGCTTCATTTGAAAGAGTAGGTGCGCAACTTGTTATCTTATCATTTTCATTTCTCTTTTTACATAGTTGCATATAGACAGTATATAAATAAGTATGTTCTGAACTTCTGCTGTTTGATTAAGTACAAATATCAACAACGGTGCACACAAATATTCCAGCACCTTTTTCCAAATGGGAGAATTCCTTAGGAAGGGAAGTGATCATGGTGAGCTTTGAACCTGGATTCCTCTTTTAAAAAACCACATCTTTTGTGATTGGGGTTTGTTAAAGATGAACAATAGCATTCAAATCTCAGGATGACCATTTCCTGAGGTAAAGAACTAGAAAGGGAATGATTAAAATATTAAGTATGTGGAGATCATAATGCAAATCCTATCATCATCATTTCCTGCATATATATGATGAAGAAAGCTGAGGAATATTTTCGTTTCAAAATGGTGGTGATCATGGTGACATTTAAACATTCATCTTCTCTAGAAAACTAACCTCAATTTCATGATTTATATGTACTAAGAATGAAAGTTGGGGATTCAAATCTCACAATCATCATTTCCCAAACCAGGCCAAAAGGAAACAAAAGCTCTCTTTTAGAAAGGAAAGGATTATGTGAAGATTTGAAGTTTAGCACTGGCTTTTAAAAAGCCTCTTATCTTTAGGCATTTCTTTATACATTTTCATTATGTGTTTTCTTTCTATCTGCATTAGTTTAGGGATTTCAATCTCATTTTCTTTCTTCACCAATCTTGGTGCTTGAGTTGTTAAAAAATGCCTTTTCTTCTCTCATTCATCATCACTTGTGCCATACACTAAAACGCTCACTTCCGTTGTTGCAATAAGACTTCTATTATTTGCACTTCATGGATCAAATAGATCTCAAAAAGAAAGGTTTTAATATTGAAAGTATTATATCGAACTATGGCGAAAATTTTCACATCTAAAGATCAACTTTTAATTTGATTGCAATGCATCATAACTTCTAAGCTTAAATGATTTAGATAGCATTTAGGGACGTAGCTGAACACGAAAAAAACCTCAAAACAACATGACAAAATGAGTACCTCCAGGACAAATGCCAAAAAGTAAAGCTTTCATTCTTCTTCTCCCAAAAGGTTGAATTGCCAAACCCAAGGGCCTCTTATACCCCGGTCCGGCAGAACATTTGGGATGATGTAAATCACGGTGATTCAATGGCTTAATAGACAGGGTCAAATGTTAGTGTGCACAAGGGAGCTGTCCACTTTGAACATAATCCCCACACTACCGCTGCCGAGGTTCGAACCTTAGTTTTTTCAATTTCTCAAATACAGTCTATTGAAGTAGTGAGCTAAAGCCTGTATGGGCAGTAAAGCTTTCCTTTTGTTATGGGAGGTAGAGGAAGCATGATAGGAGGATTAGCGGAGGGATTAGTTGGGCTAATAGCAATGAAAGGATGAAGGTTAAACGTCGAAGCTTGTAGATGCTGGCAATGACGACAACACTCCCTCTTAGTTGAAGCTTGGGAAATGGTCACATCAGTAATGGAATCAAATGGCCTCTAGAGATAAATATGATAGTGCCAAAACTAAACACCATTCGAGAATACATACAACAAACCAAACCAGTAATAAACATGCATGGAAACAAACACTACATGAATACCAAAATTGAGCATCCTTGAAAATTAAACATGGCGTGCACTGGGACTATCTAGCCATTGAAAATAAACAACACTAGAAACCAACTTCTTGTTCAATACTGGTAGTGATGGTATTAATTAAACTAGGAATGATTTAATTAGTAACCAGGAATGAAGCTAATTATAGAAATGAGAGAATGATTGTTTTAGTATTGATTGTTTGTAATAGGGACAATGTGATGTCCCCTTGAGGACAAAAAATAAAACATACCCCATCTGTCTCATTTTATTTATTATACTTAATATTCAGGGGTCAAAACAATTTATTAGCATTTTTTAAAAATAATTTTTTATTTTGATTTTTTTTTTTGTGTTTAATAATACTTTAAATGTAGTTTCTAAACATATAAATTTTACATACTAATTCTAAACATAATATTATGAATAATTAAATTGTAAATAACTTTAGTCAAGTCTCAGCTCAGCTCGTTAATCAAACATGTTACAAAATGAGACGGAAGGTGTGTGTGTGTGTATATATATAGGGTGATGTTCAAATGAGAACTCCTCATCTCGTGAGAACCTGCTGACTTATATATATATATATATATATATATATATATATATATATATATATATATATATATATATATATATATATATATATATAGAGAGAGAGAGAGAGAGAGAGAGAGAGAGAGAGTAGGGTTCCAATGAGAACACTTGTTTAGGTGAGAACGTGAGAACAAATCGTGGGCATCAATCTAATATTTTTTTATTAGATTAAGTGTGTACGAACGCGAATTAAATGTGTGCAAACGCGATTAAGTGTGTTTGCACACATTTAATTCGGGTTCGCACACACTTAATCTAATCTAGACCATGTAAAAATATTAGATAGATGCACATGATTTGTTCTCATGTTCTCACCTAAGCAAGTGTTCTCCTATGATCACATATATATATATATATATATATATATATATATATATATATATATATATGAGAGCCCCTCCTCTTGTAGGATAAAAAAATGAAATTAATTTTAATAATAATAATAATTGTGGCCAAGAACCTTGTGGTTCAATGGTATCAAGTCTTTATATTATATTGAGAGGTTGTAGGTTGTCGCCGGAGGCGATATTAAATCACAATAATAATAATTGTGTTATTAACCCACGTGGCCACGTGTGATGAGCATGATGATCTTTTTACAAGGCGGTGCCTAATTAAAGAAAAAAAAAAGGTAAAAGAAACACTCAAATGGCTTGTTCTCACTGTTGCACGTGAGTAGGAAAATAATTATTATAATTTAGAAGCATATAATTACGTGTCGTTTATTGCTTGAGTGAAAAGAAATGAATTAAGAGAGAAGAATGAATTAATATTTAAACTAATGATCAATGGCTTGTTCTCACTGTTGCACGTGAGTAGGAAAATAATTATTATAATTTAGAAGTATATAATTACGTGTCGTTTACAGCTTGAGTGAAAAGAAATGAATTAAGAGAGAAGAATGGATTAATATTTAAACTAATGATCAACGCTATATCAGAAAGTAAAATAAGAATATATGTAGAATAACTTATATATGATTATATGAGTGTATCAAGTACTAAAATTTTATAACTTGTTAGGATAGAGGGTTGTTTGTAACGGACTAGTTAGACTCATCATAAAATATAATAGTTTGGGAAAAAGCGATGAAAGGTAAGTATAATAGACTTATATATTAGCAAATGGTACAAGGCTTTGGCCTCCTATGAATCCACTATTGGACTACAAACGTCTAATAATACGTATGATAAACTAACATGCCGCTTGATTCAAGTTACAAGCTCATTAGCTAATTACACACTGCCAGTTAAGCGTGGTAGATGATGAGAGAATACTCAGGAAAACTGTCTTGAGGACTAATTCATGATGTCTTAAAGGGAGCTTGAGTCCACTATTTATAGTGTTTGAGGTCCTGAGTTTATTGATGAATTGAATATAATCAAATTTATAACATTTTGATAACTAGAGTTTGGTGTTTGTATTTTGGTATATGTATTACTAGTTGTGAACTTAATCATATACATTGCAAAATGAAAACGTTCTACCTTATGAATTTTATGGTCTAATATAATGATATAGGTTTGAGTTGTGAATGCATGGGAGTTTTTAAATGTAAATTTTACAAATTATGAGAATTTTACAATACTATATTTTGATAATTAAATAATGTTGTATGTTAAAATGATATAATCTCAAAGTAATAACGTGATGTAAAAATATTTAATTTTTTAATAAGTTGGGTAGATTTCAAAACATACTAATTTTTATTTTAAAAATAAGGTATTCTCTTTATGTAGTAAAGTCAAAGGTTCAAAACTTCACGGACTTAGCCTAAAAAAGAGTGATTGAGTAGGTGGAACATGATTTTTATACCTGAAAGTCACGAATTTAAACTTTGCTGATATCCTCTCGGAGTCTCGGTCAAGTCCGTTGCATAGAATCTTTCTAGTGCATTTTACATATCTTGTGTGGTTTTCAGATTATTACAAAAGAGAGAGATTTACTTTTAGTGCACACCATAAAATAGTGATTGTGAATTTCTCTCATTATAAAAAAAAAAAAAAAATCCTATAAATTCTATATTGTAACACAAAATTTTCTATATCTTTGAAAAATAATACTACATGTATTCTTATTTTTTTACTCAATTATTTATTTCTTACTCACATGCTCTAATTAATCTAAAACATACAGTGGTGTGTTATAATTTTTATTATTTTCTTTCTAATAAAATACGAATATATGACGATAATTTTACCCCTTTGAGAGTCCTTTATTATTGAGCCACACATTTAAGAGATGTGACAGTTGCATGGACCATGGTGGCGCAAGACTATATTTTTCTTGCCTAGGTTAGGCACTGTCAGTCTGTCATGGAAGTCCATATCTTGATCTAACTTTGAATATCAAACTGTAATGTGCATTATTGATTTACGTACGTGAAATAAAAATTTTTTATAGCTGTTTCTATTTTTTTTTTCCAATTATTTGAGTTTTTTTTTTTTTTTTTTTTTTGAACCCATCAATTTATAAACTTAATGTTCTGATTATTGCTTTATTTATTATCACTCTAAAAATTATAATTGTTACTATTTATATTTAAATTAAATATGTCAAAATTTAATTTAATTGATAATATAAAATTTTAATTCAAATACTATGTTATTAAATTATATATTATATTTTAAAAACATCTAAAGTGTGTGCCTTTTTACGGGCGTAAGTGTGCACTTAAGCACGCAATTTATCTTATGTTTTTTTCTCCTAAAATTTTCAATTGCAAGAATAAAATTTCTCGAAAAACTCATCCCACCATCAGTAAAAAAAAAAAAAAAAAAAAAAAAAAAAAAAAAAAAAAACTCAAGCATCAGTTTTTGTCTTAGCAACAAACCTCCAAAAAAGTTTTCGCAGGAATGCTCGTATAAATACAGTGGGATGAAGAAATGAAGCAAAAAATTAAAAAATAATAATAAAATAAATAAAATGCGACCAAA